TAGAGGGGTTATGTCCCAGGTGCTCTTCCTGCAGCTACCATGATGAATTTTGGACTAGGTGTTAGTTTCCCAGTTAGGGCGGTGGTAAATTACCACAAACTCCTAGCTTAAAATAAATTTCTTCTCATGGTTCTGGAAGCCCGAAATCAAGGTGTCAGCAGCGCCACGATCCTTCCAAAACCCCTCTGAGGATCCTTGCTTCGGACCCTCATTAGATTCTGGCAAATCCACCCCAGTCTCCACCTCTGTCCCCATGTGGCCTTCTTCCCTCTCTGTCTCAAATACTCTCCTTTCTCTTATGAGGACACCAGCTGTTGAATTTAGGGTCCACCCTAAGTCCAGGATGAACTCATCTCAAGATTCAGAACTTAGTTACATCTGCAGAGACTCTTTCCAAATGAGGTCACTTTCAAAGTTACCAGAAGTTAGGACTTGAACATACCTTTTTGGTGTTCACTGTGCAAGTCAGTGCAGAATATAAATATCAGTTTCCAAATGAGGTCACCAGAAGTTACCAGACTGTATCTCACAAGTCCTAACTTCTGGTAACTTTTCCCTGTGTGTTCACTGTGCAAGTCAGTGCAGAATATAAATATCAACAGAGTCTTCCTTCACCAGGAACTTGGGGAGGTATTTGGGGAGAAAGACTCATGAAGAAGTCTCAGAACATATGGTAAATGTTCTACTATTGGGGTGCACATATAGCAAAAGAAATCCAGAGCAGGGCAGGGCAGCCAAGACCTCTTTGCAGGATGGGATGGAGGATCTGAAGATCCTGATCCAATTTGAGGAAGATGAGAAAGATAATTGTAGAGGAAATGGTGAGGGGAGGACATGAGGGCATGGAAGGTTGGCGACCCCAGAACGCCCACCTGCTTGGAGAGAGCAGTGTGGCTTGTGATGCTATGGATGCTATGCCTTTGATGTTGCCGGAATGTCAGTGGCAAGTGTCCACTGCCCACTGGTCAGAGGGGAGGCAAGAGGGACCAGTGGGAACCGGTAGGCTCTCTGGTTTGTGTTTTAATCGCTTAGGTGTGGCCAGCTGTTTTCAGTGGAAAATGGATGGGAATTGAGAGGATGGCAAGGATAAGATAGAAGTAATTTATGTATTTTCATAATGAAAAATAAGACGATTTCCAAAGAGCGGATGAACTGGACTTAAACGTAGCCTGAAGTGCAGTCTTTTCAACTGTCTTCGTGAAAAACACTCACTCCCAAAGCCACATTCACAGAGAGTTCTAGCAGAAATTCTTGGCATGACCACACTTGCTCTTTGTATCTCATGTAGCCTTTTGGATTAAAGGATTAAATTGCATTCATTATTTTTGGGCACACATTGAATAAAAACTTAACCACATTGCATTGAACATTTTTGTTAGGAGTATTGTAAAAATTTTTAAATTTCCATGTTTTATGTGAAACGCTGCTCAGTATTTTCAGTTTTAAAAATTCTGAGGACTTCAGTGATAGAAAGTTGTACACATTTAGTGCTTGCTTTTCCACATGTTAAGTTCTTCCTCAGGATGCTGCATAGTGATTGTAGACAAAGGATTTAACAACAATTATTTATGATTTGTCAGGTAACTTAGGGACAAAGTCCAGGTTTTTCTCAGATATTTTAACAGACTAAAATAGTGCATGCGTTTTGGTGTTGACTTTATAAAATGTTATGTTTGTTTTCTATCAAAAAACTGATCATTGGACATCACTGGTGTGTCCGGCTGGGTGCCAGGTACACAAAAGGAATGCATTAACCCAGGTGGGAAAATGGATTTGCACCGACGAAGAAGGCATTTAGGGAACAATTACAGATGGTCTGTCATTAAGTAATAAATTCTCTTCTGCTGCCTGTTTCAGTGCATCGGGAAGCCCGAGAAGGGGAGAGACTGTGGGGCTGTGGAGGCACTGGAAGATCTTGTATTTTTCTGAAGTTAGGACTTGAGCATGGCCTGAGGGAAGGGAACTATGGAATTGAACTGTGGGGAGAGACATTCCCCACAGTGAGGGGTGGTGACTGGCCCTACTAAAGTGGACCGATGGTTTCCAGAACTGTTGGTCAGACATGGTATTTAAAAGCTGGGTCTGGGAGGGTCACTTAGGGATGAGTGTGCAGCAGGGAAGAG